AGACTTCTTGTCCTCTATGAGGAAGATTTCCAAGTTAATTAAATTGAAGTACGTCTATACTCCTGGAGTATAGATGTACTTCAATGATCTCCGACCAATCTCAACGGTCAATTATTATTTTCTGTTAAACTGATTTTCGGTATGGTTTTAGAGAATCGGGACCTAAGGCTTATCCATTAGAGGTTAGGGTATAATATCATGCCCCAAACTCGGTTTAATTCATGGTCTAGATGGATATATCTCACTAGAAGTACTTGGATCATACTATGCTCTAGGAGCATACGAGTCTACCACATAACCTTCTATCTCTCTTTATCTTGTCTTCAACATTGTATATCTACCAGGAGACCAATACCTACACTTGTGAACCTACTTCAACCCACAAAACCCCTATGGTAACGCTTTGTGAACCCAACTTTAGCTTCACAGCAATACATGTGTTACACATGCAAATGGGTTTTGGAGCTGCTGCTGTTCTAGCAACATTTAATGATTAACAAGAAACTGAAACTCTTTGGAGTTCATTCATTTCGCCAAAGTTGAACCATAGAAACTGGCTTCTAATACCCAGTTCAAAGTTGTGGGAGACATATTTTGAATGGTTGGTTCATTTGAAGCAGCCCTTCTCTCTGAAAAATGATTATGTATTCATCATTACTTCTTAAATAATTGCTTTTTGAATGTTCATTCGAGAGATGACAAATGCTCAGGACCACTGCAAGCCATTCAATAGACTGTCAATTTTGTTTTCTTTTCTGCTTTAGTTACGTGTAGATGGAGTTTAAAGATTTGGGTTGGTTCTAATCGACATCCTTTTTGAGTCTATTGCAATAGGGTGAACCAAGCTTCCATTTGTTTGCGTTTATACTGTGTATTGTTGGTACATTAACAAGGGCTTTTAAGTCAGTCCTCCAGGGTATATTGCTTTCTTCATAGGGGTAAATTTTTCTTCGTGCTACAAGTACTTTTGAAATGATTTAGATATTGGAAAGTTTGATATACCAAAAATGCATGCCAATTCTTAAATTTTTTATTATTTCTGTCAGAATGGAGAAGCTGAATTCTATGATGGTTAGAAAAAATTTAGTATTAACAAGAAACTAACTTTACCTATTGTAGAATCCTTGAACTGCTATGTTTTCGTTTGTCGAAGTTTATCTTACATCCAACCTAGGAACTGCAATTCTGTGATCGCTCTCAGCTTTGTCTTTTTCTGTTGTCTTTGAGGTAGGATTACTTGCTGTTGAATTGTTGTTGTGTTTTTCCCTTTTGACCCAGAGCAGAGTGACATTGTTGGAAAAATTAGAGATGAAGAATATGCACTAAGAAATACAAATGAAAATTTGGGCAAGCATGTTGCAGTCTACAGAAAAGCCGATTAAATGAGACTGACGGGCTTTCCCTATTTGAGGTGGGTCAATTCAAGTTTAAGGGGTGAACTGAGAAATCCCGATGAAGCCCCCAGATTGCCCCAGTTTAGCAGGAGGGACTTATGAATTCGTAGGTTTGTTGCCTATGTGCCAGAATAGTCACTACTTTGATTACAGTGGTACCACGAGGTTAAGTTGGAACAACAAAATACATAAATGGCCATTAATTAAACAAGATCTGTCAAATTGGGAATGCATGGATAAGAGTTGGATCCATCAAGATATGTTATGCAAGTACTCTTGTCATTGTTCTTTTTTTCTTAGAATAATAACACCTTCCCATTTGTTTTCATTTTATCATATTATAATGCCAAAAATAATTGTGATTGCGAGGTATGTGTTGCCAAATCTTAACTAATTCTTTTTCAGTAGTAGTTCAACAGCATCATCAGAGCCATGCTGCAACATCGGTTGCGACATTCTACATAAGCAGGCCATTCCCTCCTTAAACTGAATCCATCACTGTTTCATAGGTAATTAAAATAGAATGACTTATGTTCACTTCAATAATGCTTCATTAATCCTGCTTTTCCCCTCTATATCAAATTACATGCTTCTTTATATAGTCCAAGGTAGATATAGAGATTGAGTTTGAGTTGTCCTACCACATATATTTCTCTTTGTTCAGAATAACTAGGGTCCATCTTGGAGAATATTCATTCTAATTAGGAAAAATAGTTGGGTGTACATAGAATGATTTTGGAGTGACAACTTACATGCGGCCCGATTCAGGAGTATAGTAGAAGATGGGTAGTCATTTGAAGTCATTTCGGTAATGAAACCGAAAAGATACGACTTTCTCGAGAACAAGGTAATCAAGTCTTTCACTTCATTATGATTCCTTCATCTTTCGTATGTCCAGTCACTGGCGATGGCGTTCAATGGTCGCACTACGAAGAAACTGGGTGTTGTAGGGTCTCGATTGAGAAAATAATATTTGAAATTCCTTGGGAGTAAATTGAGACTAATTTTCCCTACCACCTACCAACTTAGGCATCTGAGCTAGCTGCGTTGATTGTTAAATTGTATGAGACAACTGGGCTGTGTACCTATAGATGTTTGAATGAAGTGAATGTTCTTTGCTTGACCCCCTGGATTATGTCATTGTCTTTCGTTTAAGTCAAACTTATATGAAGTTTCCTAAATTTATACCAAATGCTCCATAGCTTCTTTTTCTTTCAGTAGGAGGAGCTGCTGCTAAGTTCAGTTTAGATTTGGAGCTCCTGTTTTGTTCAGTTATTGGTAATAGTTTTTCTTTACGAGCTAGTGCTATTGTTTTTCTTTTTGCATGTTCCCTTTATTTTACAGCTTGCAAACGAAGATATTAAGGAGGAATTGGCTGTCTAATACGTGCAGGAAACCATTGTGAGTGGATTGAATTATTGTAGTAAACGCCGCATGTAATTATGGTCCTTTGGTAAGTACTTTTGTTTCTCTTTTCGAGTATTTTTGTTGGTTTTAGGGTTTAGCCTAAGTTATTGTTGGTTTTATTTGATGTTTTACAGATTCTGAGCATTTTCTTATTTTGTAGGTATTTCCTCTCTTAGCAGTAAGGTTCAGCTCATGTCAATTTAGCCGTTTATGTGCTTTCAATTAGTGTTTGAGTTCTTTGTTCCATGCTTGTGCGATGCTAAATGTTAGATCTAAGAACATGTGGTTTCATATGCTCTGGTGTTGCATTCGTTCATATGTATTTCGTGTAGAATAGGAAGGCCATTTGATGTTTTAATTAATTGCAGTATTAGTATGCAAACTACTCTTTCTCTTTGTTGTTTATCGGTTGAAGCAGGGTAGTTCCATTGTTGTCTATGTACGAGTGAGGAAGAATCTCATTTAAATATGAACCAAATTTTGGTATTTGATATTACTACAGCATGACCTGCCTACCCATTGACCATGTTCAGTATGATCTAATCTCACAAAGCAATTCTCTCTGCAGTATTTCATTATAATGTATCAGACTTTTCATTATAATTATGTTTGTACAGATTTTTTACTCTCAACAAACATGACAGTGGAAGGCAGCACATATACAATGGTCGGAGTAGTGAGTCAATCCCTTTTTGCTAGCAAATTTAAAATTGAGGATCTGATAGGAGTAGAATGTTCACTTTAGCTGTGTTTCTGTTCTTCTAATCCTTGCTTCTAGCTTGATTAATTAGGTTGGATATCATTGTTTGTTTATGAATTCATTGTCTGCTATCAATGTTTAGCTGGTGGCACATATACAAGAGAGAATTATTATCTGTGTTTAGTTATATGATTAGTTTAGTCTTTTTGATATGATGACTTAACGTTATAGCCAATTTGTCTTCAAGTTGGGAATGAGTTAGATATTAATACTCTCTTTTCTTATGGCAATGGGTTTGTTCATTGTTATAGGTGTACTAAGAATCAGATCTCTCTATTACTATGGCAAAGAAGAAGGTTGTACGCTTGCAGCATATTTGGAGGGGAATTGCAGCAAAACCGGACAAGGCTTGCAACAGAACTCGAAAAAAATTGCAGTAGTAGCATGTCCAGTTTCTTTGTTCTATACTTTTCTCCATAACAACATCAACTTGTACTACTTGGATTAAATCATTAGGATTATTTTATATTTTATATTTCGTCCATAGTTACTTGGATATTATGTATTTGTACTTATGTTTTATAATCATTATGTATGCTAAAAACGTTTTCTCATTATATATCTTTCCAAAAGTATAGTAAAACCGTCCATAATTAGGCTTGCTTGCTTCCCGAGGGAGAGACACAGAGGCAGTTTCTAACTGTTTTTTCACACATAATCGACAATTGGCACTAGCTCAATATGCCAACAAGTGAAACTACCCACAAAAGTTCTCTTCTTTGGCCAATTACAATTGCAGGTCAAGAGAATTTTGGTACTTTATAACTTATGATTTTGCTTGGAGGAACTAAGGAGTAAAGGGTTTAAGCCATATGCATATAAATGGGACAAGACTCATACTGCTAATCAGCTGCGGGAGTTGTATAGGAATCTGGGGAACAATGAAGAATCAAGCAGTGAGAGTGATCATGTATCCGTAGCTGGGAGAATTGTTGCCTGTAGGGTTTTCGGGAAGCTTTGCTTTTCTGACACGGAGAGATGACTATGGGACGATTTAGGTGTGTTCATCCAAATACATCACATATTTTTTTTATTCAATTGATTTTATCTTTTCTTAAATCATGATATTTTAAGAAAATTCGATTTTCACAAAAAAAAATCATTTTATATTTGAGGCATTGAGTAGTTTATTTAATCAAAATTCTAGACCAATATTTGAGGATTTGAGATTTTCTATTGTAATAGCCTTGAACTATCCTCTTATGTTATGTTAGTGTAAGTTCTTAACAATCACAATTATTCTTGGATATATATTAGTAACTAATCAATTAGTATATAATAATTTATACTTCTTAATTTTTACCTTTTTAGATGACTAATGACCATAAAATTTAACCTATTAAAATATAAATAAATGGATTAACATTAAATGCTAACAAACAAATACAACATAAATAAATTAATCCAGACCAACGGGTCAGCTAAAAGCTAGTTTGTATATAATTTCTAAAATGAAGGGACTGCAAAGAACTGTACCCACCAACCCACTAAGCTCAAAATTGTTGCTCTCCGTGGTCTTGGATCCGACGTCTTGCATCTGTGCGATCTCTCGAAATGGGTAAACTCGCTTGAAAGATCAAGCTCCCTGGTTTCTTTAGACTTTATCACGATTACTTGCTGCTTGTAGGTTTTGGTTATTTGATTCATTTGATCCATCTGTGATATTCTAGTGAGCGAAAACCCTTTCAATCGGATACTGAAGGCACTCGAGAAGCCTGGTGGTGGTCAATTCGGAATGTACTACAGCTTGCCAGCTCTTGATGATCCTCGAATTGGCAAGTGTTTTTTTCTTCTTTTCCCTCTTCTAGTCTGTGATTTGAGTTTTGGATTTGATGAGGACTGGGAAAAGTGACGAATCTTTCCCGAGTGATGTGACGAAAAAGATCTGAACTTTGTTTAGAAATGAAAATCCTTCCCTATTACATTCTCGTTGAACTTTTGGCCAAAACGTATACAAGATCCATTTCTGGAAAAGATGCAGCAGCTGCTTTTTCTAGGCTTTAATCCTGTGGCGATGGTGGTGGGGGTGGCAACTGTTGTTGATGGCTGTACCTGGAAGATTTTAGATTTAAAGCACTTTTCAGTTTAAAAAATCGCCCTTTTTGTATTTTCTGTTAACATTCGTAACTTTCGAAATTTGGTGATTTCTTGCGGAAATCATTGAGCTTTTGGCTTGTGGGGACGGTGTTGTGACTGTCTGTGATGCAGATAAGCTGCCATATTCGATCAGGATCCTTCTAGAATCAGCCATTCGTAACTGCGATGAGTTCCAGGTTAAGAGTAATGATGTGGAGAAAATCATTGACTGGCAGAACACTGCCCCAAAACTTGTTGAAATACCATTCAAGCCTGCTAGAGTACTGCTTCAGGTGATTGGCTAGCTTCGGCCTTTCAAGTAATTTTTTTCCTAAGTGTTTTTTTCGGGGAAGTTTTGATGATCAAAGTTTTGGTTTTGCATTCAGGATTTTACTGGTGTTCCTGCTGTTGTTGATCTTGCATGTATGCGTGATGCCATGAACAATCTTGGAGGAGATTCGAGCAAAATTAACCCATTGGTGAGATCATTGTCTTATTACTATGTGTCATTGTGGGTTGACTTACATTGCAAGATGCAATATGTTTTCTTTGAAAATGTTAATGTGGTAGAGGATTCGTAAGATTGACATGTATTATATTATTTCAATCAAAAGTTTGATTGAATTAGTGAACTTTCTTTTGCCAGGTTCCAGTTGATCTTGTCATTGATCACTCGGTTCAGGTGGATGTGGCAAGGTCGGAAAATGCAGTGCAGTCAAACATGGAACTCGAGTTTCAAAGAAACAAAGAAAGATTTGCTTTTCTCAAGTGGGGTTCAAACGCATTTGACAACATGCTTGTTGTTCCTCCTGGATCTGGTATAGTCCATCAGGTGAGGAAAGCTTCCATCTCTTCTTCTTGATAGTGCATGCGGGGTGTATGATTTCTCAGTTCATTTATTTAGTCCTAATGGATTTTTTTTAACATAATTGTGGCTGCGTCGAAGTTGTCAGCTTGCTTAGCTCATAGAAAACCGTTTGTCTCTATTGTATCCCTTTGAGATGCTTCTTTGTGTGCAAGTAATATTGTTTTTGACTTTGTGATTTAAGGTAAATTTGGAATACCTTGGGAGAGTTGTGTTCAACACCAATGGCTTGCTTTACCCTGATAGTGTTGTCGGGACAGATTCACATACAACAATGATAGATGGTCTGGGTGTTGCTGGCTGGGGAGTTGGCGGGATTGAAGCTGAAGCCACAATGCTTGGCCAGGTACAATTTCTTATTACACGCTGCCCCTGTCACTGTTCAATATTACCAGTTCAGTACTTGGATCAGAGTTTAATAATCAATAACTTCTTATGGCTTATCTACGTTGAAACTGCTCATAAAAAAATTTGTTTGTTCTGTCAATTATCTGATCAAGTATCATTTTTGTATCTGCATGCAGCCCATGAGCATGGTCCTCCCTGGTGTTGTTGGATTTAAGCTGTCAGGAAAGCTAAGAAATGGTGTCACAGCCACTGACTTGGTTTTGACAGTGACTCAGATGCTAAGGAGGCACGGGGTTGTTGGCAAGTTTGTAGAGTTTTATGGTATATATCCATTGAGGCCAGTCTATCCCCTTGTATTCCTTTGCTATTATCAACAGGGTTAAAATGGATGCTATGATTTCCTGTCCCATATATTGTACCCACTTTTGCTTGTGTGTTTAGGTGAAGGCATGAGCGAACTGTCATTGGCTGACCGTGCCACTATTGCCAACATGTCTCCTGAATATGGTGCCACCATGGGATTCTTTCCTGTGGATCATGTCACACTACAATACCTAAGACTGACTGGCAGAAGTGATGAAACTGTGAGATCTTCAGATGTGTACTCTTACGCAGGTGTTTGTATGTGCGCTTTGCTGATTTTTAGGTTCAATAATGCAGGTAGCTATGATTGAGTCATACTTGAGGGCGAACAAAATGTTTGTGGACTACACTGAGGTATGCATGCTGATCGATTCTTAGTCCTTTTTTCGGTTTGACCGTCCACCATATACCATGAAAGGGTTCTTCAATGTGGTATTGTTTATTGCATCCAGCCACAGACAGAGAGAGTTTATTCCGCTTATCTAGAATTGCAGCTGGAGGAAGTAGAACCCTGCATATCCGGGCCTAAGAGGTAACCAATATGACTGTCACCACAGTTATGATTTTCCAAATTGGCAATATCGTGTAATGTCCATTAGCTGAGAATGAAAATACCTTGCAGGCCACATGATCGTGTTCCTTTGAAAGAAATGAAATCTGATTGGCATTCGTGCTTGGACAGTAGAGTGGGATTTAAGGTGAGAATTTTCGTTCCTGCTCTTGAGTGCAAGACAAGCTTTCTACTGCCCCGTAGTTCCCCCATCCCAAGCTTCTTTGCTTCTTTTGAATTATGCCCAACTACTTTTCTTCAATTCAGGGTTTTGCTGTACCAAAGGAAGCTCAGAGCAAGGTTGCAGAGTTCGATTATCTTGGCACCAGTGCACAACTTAGACACGGGGATGTTGTTATAGCAGCTATTACAAGTTGCACAAACACCTCGAACCCTAGTGTAATGCTTGGAGCTGCACTGGTTGCAAAGAAAGCTTGTGAGCTAGGATTGGAGGTTAGGTCTCAAATTTTTTCTTGCGCTTAGTTTCCATGGAAGAGTCGATAGTGTGTTTAAAGAATGGATACCATAAAATTAATGAACATGGTTGAATAAGAAATAGGTCCCTATTAGAGCACAGTGCAATCAGATAGCCTATGGGTTGTTCTATCCTGAGTTGTTCCCAATGTGTCTACACTCCTGTCCTGATTATAAAACTAATTTGTTGCGTGCTGCTGTATTGGCTCAGACCTGTCAAAAGCTTGCCATTATGGAAGTTTATATGTCTGTTTATAACATAGTAATGAGTCTTCTCCATAGATGAGACTCTTTGTGTAACTTGTGATGAATTGCCAACCATACTTAGTTCACTTGATTTGGGGTCTTTCTATTGATCAGGTTAAACCATGGATCAAGACAAGTCTTGCTCCGGGATCTGGTGTTGTCACGAAGTACCTACAGAAGAGGTGATTCTTTTAACTTTTTTAAAGCTTGCTTTATTACTACAGTTAAAACTGCTTTCTTAGTTTCTGTACCTTTACAGTGGCTTGCAGAAGTATTTGAATCAGCTTGGGTTTCACATTGTTGGGTATGGATGCACAACTTGCATTGGCAATTCAGGAGATATTCATGAAGCAGTAGCAGCAGCTATTACAGAAAATGGTATAAGTTTGCTTTCTTCATATAAAGTTGCATTCATGTTGATGTATACCAAGAAACCAACATGTCTAAAGCATTGGATCTGTATATCTTTCCAGATTTGGTGGCTGCTGCTGTATTATCTGGGAACAGGAATTTTGAGGGTAGGGTGCATCCATTAACGAGGGCCAATTATTTAGCTTCCCCTCCGCTTGTCGTTGCATATGCTCTTGCTGGAACAGTAAGTTTTATTTTGGGGCGGTGTGGCTACCTTTCTCTGGTTCTATCCATCTTCAGGTTCTTTTTACTCATTACCTCTTTGTCAATGATTGCACATTGAAAACTCCAGGTTGACATTGACTTCGAAACTGAACCAATTGGCGTAGGAAAAGATGGGAAAGAGATATTTTTCAGAGAAATATGGCCCTCTACTGAAGAAGTTGCTGAAGTGAGTCATTCTTTCCTATGACTCTGTTTGGCCCTTTTGAAGGTTTCTTACACAAAGTTTTCTGGCTGGAGGTTTCAAAGAAGTATAATTTGTAAATAAACTTGTTGAATGTTTGGTTGATGAACTAATGAAAGTGGTAAGTGGTGCAATATGGATAGAAAGTGAGCATAAATATAAAATAAGAAGCTTAAAATTTAGAAAAATATACTATCTTGTTGAAGTTCTTCTACATTTAGAAATATGGTGAAATGAGAGACATATTTTTTTAACCTAAAACAGAAATCAGAGGTCGTAGGCGTAGGCGTAGCTCTTTCTTCGGAACTATTTGCAGAAGCTTCATATTTGGGGATATGTTTGGCTCAACCTATGCTTTAGAGTAGATAAGCTCGTGAAAAAGTTTGGGCCTAACACACAGCTTGGCTTCTTGCTTTGCTGTTGGACTAAAACTCAGTTCTCATCTCTTCTTTTTTACCCTCTCTTGACTGACGCTTTGCATGGGATTTTCAGGTTGTACAGTCAAACGTGCTGCCTGATATGTTTAAGGCTACTTACCAAGCAATCACCAAAGGAAACCCAATGTGGAATGACTTATCAGTATCTGCACAGAGTCTCTATGCATGGGAACCAACATCAACATACATTCACGAACCACCTTACTTCAAGGGCATGACCATGTCTCCTCCTGGTCCTTATTGCGTGAAAGATGCTTACTGCTTGCTCAGTTTTGGAGACAGCATTACCACAGATCACATTTCCCCTGCTGGTAGCATTCACAAAGACAGCCCGGCAGCTAGGTATCTTATGGAACGTGGGGTTGATCGAAGAGACTTCAATTCTTATGGCAGCCGACGTGGTAACGATGAGGTGATGGCTAGGGGCACATTCGCGAATATTCGCATCGTCAACAAATTCTTAGGTGGAGAAGTTGGTCCCAAGACCATCCATATTCCCTCTGCAGAGAAACTTTCCGTTTTTGATGCTGCCATGGTAAGAATTTCTTAAAATCTTTGGCTTGAAGTTTCCAATTGGAGCTAATGGTAAAAGTGGAATCTCATTTGAAAAAAGAACATGAATTTAGTGAACGAAGGTGAACCAATTAGGTAGTCCCTCAATTTGCCAACTTTTCAAAGGATAGATGAAACTATGGAAATGCTGACTTATTATGTAAGAAATAACTAAATTGACCCCATAAAATTAATAGTGGAGTTTAGACAGATAATATTGGAAATAATGGAATAAATTGGGCTCCATGTTATATGAATGTTTTGGGTTTAAATGTAGGACTTAGACTGATGTTTTTTATTGGAAAAATTGGCTTTTTGATCAACGGGACACACCAACTGTTTGAATCAAGCAGATTGAATCTTTTTTTTTTTTTTTTTTGTAAATGGGTGACAGTCTTTCTTTACTGATTTCCGAGGGTGCAATGTGATAACTTTGGATTGTCTGATAATCAGAGGTACAAGAGTGAAGGGCAGGACACGATCATTTTGGCTGGTGCAGAGTATGGAAGTGGAAGTTCTCGTGATTGGGCGGCAAAGGGTCCAATGCTTCTGGTATGTTCATTCTCCATCCACCATATGCCTTTCTTGCTTCGTAGAAGAGCTTCCTTCCATGACAATTTCTTATCTCTGGACTTGGCTCTTACAGGGTGTGAAAGCTGTAATTGCCAAGAGCTTCGAGAGGATTCACCGCAGCAACTTGGTGGGGATGGGTATCATCCCAATGTGTTTCAAGACGGGAGAGGACACGGAGACACTTGGCTTGACTGGCCATGAACGCTACACCATCGATCTCCCGAGCAGCATCAGTGAGATCAGACCTGGTCAAGATGTGAAGGTGACAACAGATAATGGCAAGTCTTTCACCTGCACATTGCGTTTTGATACAGAGGTAAGTGAAATTTAACCCACCTGCCCATGGTCTGCACTATTTAGTGACCGAGGGTCTCACATCCTGTTGTTGCCCTCTGCAGGTGGAACTTGAATATTTCAACCATGGAGGCATCCTGCAGTATGTGATCAGGAACTTGATTGGCTCCAACCAGTGAAATGAATGGGATGGTCATTTCCAACATCAAAATGGAAGGCTAATTTCGCTACTGTGGCGAGAGTGAGCATTGCATGCTTGCTTGGGCTGTTGGTTGTCCATTGAAGTCAGCTGTTTTCTTCTACATTTGGCCCCATAGTGGAATGGACATGCTTGGGGTGTTGGTTCAACGAACAAAGCTGTTTCTATTCATAAAAAAAAAAGCTGTTTCTCAATGTAATAAATATCCATAATAGACGGATGTTAGATTTCTGTTGACTGCTTGAATGTTGAAGAAGAGAATATTATCCTCTTTTATATCGGGACAGAGAGCCCCTACATACATTCCTTGCCTACATTGAATGTCAAGCATTCTCAGTTCTAACATTTAATGGCTGCGATTAGTGATTGCTTTTGTCTCGAGGATGAGATAGCATGTCTATCCTTCATCCTCTAGCATGTATACCCTAAAAGGTTGGAAAAATGACACCTCTATTAATTATAGGTTTTTAAGTTAATTAATTTGTATTGCATTTAATAATTTGTATGATTTAAAATTACATATTAATCACTTTCCTTTTTCCAGTGCACTGGTAGTTGTATCGGTGCAATGATAGTTGTATCAGTGCAGTGATAGTTAAAAAAAAAGAATGTAATTAAGATAAATTTTTAATTTTCAAAGATTATTATATGCAACACGAATTTAATAAAAAAAATAATTATAATTAATAGGAGTGTCATTTTTCCAACCCCTTAGAAGGGATAGCATGCTAACCGATCCCCTTTTGTCTCAAATATTTTGAATGATAATACGCGAAAACAGACTTTTCCTTTTATTGCAACTAGCTTTATTCCCGGCAAATGGCCGGCGTAACTTTTAACATTAATAATAATCAGTTAACATAATGATTTACATATTTTTCAATTGATTAATATTTAGGAAACCTCAACTATCAAGAAAGTGTTATTTGTGTTCCAAACTATTCAATACGACATTTATGTCCATTACGTATGATAGTTGTGTGTCATTTGTGCTTGATGATTTTGTTGACCATTAAAGATAGTGGTTGACCAGACGGTGGTCAACTTAATGTTGACTTTTGTTGACGTGACAAAAACGTGAAAGTCACGTAGATGCCACGTCATTGACACATAAGTTTTTCAATTCAAAATTAAATAGAAACTAAAATTTAAAAAAATGCGTACGACGATTCCGAGGAAGATAGCCGCCGACATCTCCAGGTTCTGCCGTCGGAGAACGAAATTCCGACTTCCTCACTAATCTCCGGCAGCTTGGTAAGCCTCAGACTTCCTCATTAATCTCCGACTAACTCGCTCCAATCGACGTCGTCTTCTTCGGCAGCGCTCCCAGCTCCAATCAGCATCTTCTCAAGACGTTCCCAACTTGCTAGTCGCCTGGTCCGTTCCTCCTCCGGCGACGAATTCTCACTTTGTTCGTCTCTCTCTCTCTCTCTCTCTCTATCACACTCACACACACACACACACACACACACACACACAAAGTAATGGGTCCTCGTGGCTCGTAAGCTGACTCGCTCCGACTATCACACTAAAATCCCACCTAAGGCCCAAGTATAAATCTTAGATGGGTGCAATATATGGCAAGTATGTTTAAATATTGATCCGGGCCGACCCATGTACCCCTGCTTCGATTGTTTGAAACATTATCTAGCGGATTGTTGTTTTGCGAAAATGTCTACAATCTACTATTGAAAAGCAAGACTTGAAAAATAAAGTGGAGGAAAACTCTTGGTGAGAAATTCTCTTGGGTGTTGCTTCCCCCTAACCAACTACCATGAATCGTGGGATCAAATGAAACGATGTGTGACAAGGCAATTGCGACCAGTAGGATGTGCAACAATGGTTAGAAACCATCTCTCAATTGCTAAGGCAAGGAAAACATTAGAGGCTACTGACACGCTAAAACACAACACCTAACAATGGCCAAGTGTAACCAATGAAAGAGACTGCAGTATAGTGGCACAAGTAATAAATATCGAATCCACGAGTCTCTAGAGTTACTATTACTCAGCTTAAGTTCATTATCTAGCAAACTAGATTAATGATTGATTTATAAACTACTCTACTGACTACTCTACTAATTACAAGTTGGGAACTCACTTAGGTATGATTCCCCCTAGCTCCTCAATTAGGTCCAAGTTGCAATTACCTTTGGTTGATCTACTGTTGATTAAATTGCGGAAGATCCTAAATTAGCTTGGAATCTCTTAAGCTGACCAAGCCCTCTCAGTCCAACTACCCGGCAGACGACTAGTCTTCACCAGGATAGAAAGCTGAGGCTATAAACACAGAACTCCACTACTGGAATGAATTCCAGTACAAAGCAGTGAATTGATTGACTCTCGCACAACCAATTCACCACTATCAATCAAGGAAGCTCTCTTAACCTAATCAGATTCTATCTATCATAGGTTAAAGCAGAAATCAAGAGGATTTGATCAAGATTCAATTGACTCAATAAATCATGCCTCAATCGATTATAATCAAACAATATAGCATCCAAAACTTCATACAAGAAAGATCCTAACACATGGAACTAGGGTTCCTCAAAACCTAAGTGAAGGGAAGTTACTCCATAGATAAGAGAGAGACTGCAGAAATCTGATCTAGATCTTCAATCTCCATCTCCAAGCTTGATTCCTGAGCTCCAATGGCGAAGAAATCCTCCAAAATAGCTCCAAGAATGTTCCCAAGTCGCTCTCTCTCTAGGGTTCGTCCCTTGCGTGTTTGGGAACCAAAAACCCTGCTCTCTTCTTTCCTTTTGCTGAAAATCGGGTTTTAAACAGGAATTCTCGATCATGCGGCCAGGCCACACGGCCGTGTGGCTTTCCCAGCTTCCCGTGTGAAGGCTCGGTGATTTCCACACGGCCACGACCCACACGGCCGTGTGGAGTTCCAGGATGCCCGTGTGGCTTGCTCAGCCTTTGTTTAATGCTTCGTTTCTCCCTCGTCCGGACTCCGAATCAGTCGCCGTTTGATCCCAGACTCTCGGAGTATTGTCCTCTTTCTTTTCATGACAAGCTTGCATGATTCTTTGTCCATAAAGTGAGGTAGAAATCCATTCTTCTTCAGGTCATGCCCGAGTTTCTTCTCCCAAATTGTCAATTGATCTCTGATTGACTTGAAACTTGCGCCTATGCTTCAATTTATGTGCTAGGACCTGAAATATGACAAAGGAATACAACCTAGCGTAAAATAGGCCAAAGACACGATAATTCAAGCTCAAACAATCAAGAAACAAAGGGGAAAACATGTGCAAATACCGAGTCATCAAATCCCCCCACACTGAACTGTTTGCTTGTCCCCAAGCATACCTAACTCAAACCAATGTAGCTCTCCAGCCTCTATAGCAACACACAACCACGATCTTCGGTAGAGGATTTCCTAGATCATATAGCAGCTTACGAGGTCAACTGGTCTTCTAAGATGTCCCCTATCTCTCTCAATGCGAGTACTAGACTCAAGCCAGGATCATGAGAAGAAGTGGAAGTAAGACAACCAGTTCATGGATAAAGGAACTCACACCATTCACAACCAAGGACTCGTTGTACCGGGGTGCTCTTTCACTTCATTTCACCGTTGAAACCCCTTTTTCTCACTTTCATTTACATTTTTCTTTTTTTCTTTCATTTGGTGGGGTTCCAACTGCAGTCTTTTGCATGGTCGACCCTTATTAGTCGAGCAAGAGCAATTTCTGTACACCTGGCGCTCGCCAGAGTACTTCTTTTAACTCCTTTTCCTCAACTCGTGTGGAGGGTCAATGAAATTAAGGGGGGCCGGAAGCTCTATCCGTGCCCTTAAAAACACATCCTCAAGTATGCAAACCGTTCAACGGGTGGAAGTTTTACTTGTACTAGAGACAACTTAGCTTCACCTTGTAGGAGTACCCCACTAAGGATCACTAAAATCTCTTCCAAAACCCGATTTTGTGCAATGAACGGTGCCGCACACGTTGGGCTTACCCCATGTTTAAGATTTAATGATTTTGACATGGAGGACCAACTGCTTCCCATTTTCCATATGAGCACCCTGTTCGATACACGAGTCCATAACACAATCCAAATAGAGTCACCATTACCACATGAATTCAACGGTCTTAGCTCCACTAATTCACAAAATCAACCTGAACAGCAGAGAGCTAGATAGGAAAAATCTTATACTTCAACATCCTCCATAGTGCTACACTACCTCCCCAGGTTGCACATTACTATAGAGTCTGTCAATTCAAAGCATACTGAGCAGGCAATTTGCATGGAAACACGTACTTGGAGCCCTCAAATCGAAATTTGGACAGTGGACTAGGCTCCAAGCACACAAACATCCAAACATTCACCCGCATACATAATCGAACACCCCCCACACTTAAGCACGACATTGTCCTCAATGGAGGAAAGATAAGGAGGGTAGAACGAAGTTACCAGATCAAGGGTGAATGATGATGTACGGGTCAGGCGGTGCATTCCAGGAAGAGAGAGTAATCAGAACACAAACACCACACAAAATCTCACAAAGGTTGAGTTATTGAATCTAAAATCAAATAACAAAACTGACTCAACCGAGGATAAATAGAGAAAGAAATGCAAACCGACTGGTTGGGTTGCCTCCCAACAAGCGCTTCTTTCACGTCGTGAGCCGGACGATGGCTCCTAAGTTTCGGTCCATGCTAGAACCTCCTTGTAGTTGAGGTTCTCATCTATGAGGTGGAGTCTCAAGTCACAAGCAGGTGGTGTGGCAGGTGATGAAGGCTCGTGCACTTGATGCAGATGAAGTCTCCACCCTCGAGACCTCTTCTTCTCTTCTCTCGTCTCATTGCCCCAAACCAAATAAGACAACATCGATTGGCCACCATCGCGTCCACCAAGAGGGACCGATGTCGATGTGGCCTTGGTCTGGCAAAGAGACACTGCAAATGGGTCCTTGCCAAGCAGCTCCTCGAAGTTTAGTGGAGATATCACATGTAACTCATGGCCGGAGCAGGCCTCTTCCACCTTAACTCCGTCCTCAGCCTGGACGCCAATTTCTTCTTCAACCTCCCTTTCTTCTTCATGTGGTATCACCCCTGGGAAATGATCAAGAACTCCTCCTGCTTCACTTTCGTCATCCTCCACAACTTCTTTCTGCACCCTTTCTTGCTCTTCTTCTTCTAGCACGGATTGGAGAGCAAGTTGCCAAGCAATTTCTTTCATGAGATCTTCTTGCATCTCCTCACTCATGCCCGCCTCTTCAAAGCTCGGTGTGGGATGTGGGAAGGTGTGGTCGGCTATGATAGGACATTCCTGATCATGATCATCACGAGAGCTCTCCGTGACAACTTCAGTGTGCTCCACAATGTCCTTGTAGCCTTCTTCTTCCTCCTCTT